GGACTCCTCCCGGGTATTTTCATTGGTAAACCTAGGGTCGTATTCTAGAACTCTACTCAATGCTCAAGTCGGAATTTGAGTATGGTTTAAAGCTCTCGAAATCATACTATAGTCCCTGCCATTAGGGTCGTATTTGCAGTGCTTGAAATCATACTCAAGTCTGCTCAAGTCCTGACTTGAGCATTGAGTAGAGTTCTGGAATATGACCCTTAATCACTGTATTTTGAGCGATATCATACAAACGGCAATATTTATACTCTTAGTAAAATTAATATTCTTTCAGTAGGTAATTCTGAGAAGTGATCGCGTGATAATTCTGCTACGGGGTTGATGAGGAAGATATACTGGTGGTTGACTGGTGGAAGAAAGGCAGCTTTACTATTGAGAAGTCGACGGTTCAAGTCTCTGTGACGGTATGTACCAATGACTTTAATTTCGGTAAGATAATAAGTAAGGTTTAGTATCGATACCTTAACGGTAAAGGAAACATTGCGATGAAACTTGCACGTCAAAGAAGGTTCACAAACCCTGAAAAACGCTGTTGCGACGAGATCGAGACGAGTAACGAGACAACGAGATCGCCAACCCGCATTGCAATTCACGAAGCATCGAGCCTCTATGAGGCGAAACAAGGCAAACCGCAGAATGCTTTAATTGGAGGCGGAGTCGTGGAGGAAAGAATATGCTTTGTGGAGACTCTACACCCAGCCGAAGAGGTAGAGATGAATTACAAATGTCTAGAGTACACATAGCCCCGAGCCCTAGAGCAACGTCACATAGAAGGCCTGCAAATTTACACAGATAGCAGCAAGATAGAAGGAAAGGCAGGGCTGCGCTAACATGTTTGAAGAACGACTGCGAAATTAAGAGCGGAAAATATAAGCTTGCAACGTTCTGTAGTCTTTCAGGCGGGGATGTACGCCCTTCTGTGTGCTACTGACATTGCGTTAAAAGATAAGGAGGAAAATACCAACATCTTCAGTGACTCCAGGTCTTCTCTGTAGTTGTTGCGACGAGGAGACATTCTGCAACCTTTGGCGTTTGCAACAAAGCACAATCTTGATATATTGCAAACGAACGGCAAAACAGTGAGACTATTCTGAATACGGGCGCATGTTGGTGCCGCGGGGAATGAAAGTGCCGACGAGCTGGTGAAGGAGGTAGCACTGCACACAACAACCGCACCTGACTACGACAAATGCCCACAATTTTTATATATATATAAAGCTAGAAGTTCTTACTCACAGATAGAAATAGAACGCATACTTCCCGATATGGTGGAAAAAATATATTTATACCATTGTACGCGGATAGGTTCCAAAGCAAAGAATCAAATATGAGATGACCACGTGGAAACTGTAAAAGAGTGATCAATGGCCTGCAACAACTATAATATATGGAGAGAACATTTGTGCATTTTTATAAGGTACACCTTGCCCAATTTCTGCTGAAAGTAAAAAAAAATCGAAATTCAAATAAACAAGATAGCCGCCATACAAATTTCATAGAGGGTAACAGTGGTCAACTGCCTGTATAAAAAAATCAAGCGAATTCAAAATGGCAGCCGAAGAAAAACTTGCTTCGATCCGGCTGAAAATGGCACGCGGGTCTTTAGTAGTCCTTAATCATAATTTGGAGTCAAAAGTTTTTTTCGCTATTTTTTAATATGGCTGCCATACAAGCGTTTATAAAAATTTGTTCTAATTCAACTGAAAATCGGCCATCTCGGGGATCTCTACAGGCGTTTGATAATAATTTGTAGACAAAATTAATTCATAATTAATTCGCCTTTTTTCAATATGGCTGCCATACAATCTTTTTAGCAGCAGATGAAACTTTGCCCTAATTCGACTGTCTCGGCATCAAAAAGCAAAAATCGGCATGTCTGGGTCTCTTCGAGTGTTTAATAATAATTTGCGATCAAAATTTATTTTTTGCCATTTTTCAATATGGCTGCCATGCAAACTTTTTCGGCAGTAGATAAAAAAATCTTCTAATTTACCCCAAATTTTTTATTAGTTTGTTTAATTTGGGACAAAAATTTTGATTCCGCCATTTGTCGATATGGCCGCCATACAAGCGTTGTTTTTTAGATGTAAAGGGCTGTTGAAAAAACTTGCTTTGCTCGGGCAAAAAATGTGCACAAAATTATTTCTAGGAGTAATATCTAGTAAGTAAGTCTGATAATAATTAGT